CCCCAAAACCCCAAAACCCCAAAACCCCAAAACCCCAAAACCCCACGTGTAAATTTAAAGATTGAGATAAAGATTCATACAAATAAAGTTTTAGAAATGGATGAACCATATAATCCAGATGCACCTTATGCACCTGTGAATGAGGCGGATATAAAGCAGGAACCTGTAATTCAACAACCAGAGCAGATATTTACTCATCCTCAGCCAGCCCATCAGCCACCTCAACCTCGTGTCTCTAGTGCTACTCCTTTAATGAATCCAGATAGAAGGGAGTATAATCCACATGATAGACCTCTTGTGCCTGAACAAAATCCAATGGCTAAGAAAATCTGGGAGGGTTATGAATGGGGGATCCTAATCCTGGCACTGGTTAACCTGGTTGCTGGATATCTCTCCTACTCCTCAGTTTCAGGCTTCAGCTCATCAATGATAGATTTCAAGGCAAATTGGGATTTACAACCAATCGGTAAGTGCAATATTCTGAATACTTAGTTGACATCAAGACAGCTCTAAATGGATGTCCCCCAGGATATGAAGACCTGATCAATGAAGAGTGGCCGGGAACTATAGAGGGCTGTGATTGTAGAAGAGCTTGGGGAGTTTATAAAGATCTTTATAGTAGCTCATGCACTTATAACCAAACAAGAGATGATTGCAGAACAGTCCCAAGACTTTCTCCAATGCCTATTAAGAAGTTCTACTCATACAGAATCTGTGGAAAAAGGCAAGGAGAACCATTTTATATGTCTGAATCTCCATACACTAAGTTTGCTTCCACTGAATGTCCTCAAGGATACAAGATATGTGGAGGAGATGATCCAGATACTCAAACTTGTGTGAGGGAAAACCACCAGTGTCCCATAAATGACGTGATAATTACTGACTCTTCTCTAGATGTGCCAAGTGGGTACAAAAGTATCCAGCTGGATTCAGGGATGATTTTAGCATTTACTAATTCATCAACACATCGAACAAACTCTATTAAATCTGCTGGACTTCCTATAGTGAGATTCAAGTTAGTAGAAGGACAAGTGTGTGCAGAACCAAGCCAAGAAGCAACTACAGAAGGAAGGTTTCTCTATCAACTTCTTAACAAATATTCATACGCTTGCTGGACTGAGGTAGCTGGATCGAAGACAGATCCAAGATATAAGAAGGTGGCTAGCATCAAAGAAAATAGACTCTATGAGGATAAGTAAATCTTACATATTTTACTCTATAGTGGGATCAGCTATGTGACAGTAAATTTGCCAATGTACGATCGTAGTAAAGAGTTCATTTACGATTGGAATTTGTACTCTCAAACATATATAACATGGAGCCCTGGTTGCGACTCCAATGATAAAATTAACAAGGAGCATATTCTAGAACAAGCAGTAGGATCTGTGGGAGTTGCTTCCTCTCTCTTCACTACATTCATTATTTCAATCGTCTTCTTTATCGTATCAGTCATATTTGTTTGCACCCATGAGTGTAGAAAAAGTGAAGCTGATGGATATGAAGTGAAGAAGCATACAAACGTTGAGCTGCTCTGTGTGAGCGTTAAGATCGTATTCGCTTCAATAATTATCTGGTTGTGCTACAAAAGCATTTCAGTGATTAACTCCTACACTTCAAGCGTAGGTCAAATAGGGAAATCAAAATGTTCAGACAACTATACTAATGAGATTTTCTTGAGCTTTAGCAAGGCTTTGGTAAGTTAACCACTTTGGATATCTTCTGACAATCTTTAGTATTCATCTATTGATGAGGTCTACTTCTCTATCGGAATATCAGCCACTATATTGGTAGTCTGTACCTTCTTCACAATCATGGTAAGCTATTGATGAGATAAGTATAGCTTCTTTCTGGAAAATTGATAAAAGAAGATTCACATAAATATATGCACCATAACTCTAAAAAGGTAACTTTAGAGTTAAATTTTGTAGAATCAATAATAGAAATCATGTGAGATTAATCAGATCAAATTCAAACTTTCAACCAAGATTCTCCATTTAGGGGTTTTGGGGTTTTGGGGTTTTGGGGTTTTGGGG